GAGCAACAACCTCACAGAGTTGTTCTGAGGATTAAATGAGATAATGTATATGAAGAACTTAGCGTAGTATCTGGCATCTAATTTGTGTTCAGTAAATGTTACAGTGATGCTGTGATGCTGAGGGTGATGATGGTGGTAATGATGATTGCTGCCACCCTTTGCCAACACTGTGAAATGCCAGCCCTCCACTGTTCTTATTTTTTTTTTAATTTTTATTGGCATATAGTTTATTTACAATGTGCTAGTTTGAGGTGTACAGCAAAGTGAATCAGTACATATGCACATTCTTTTTTTTTTTTAATTCTTTTCCCATATAGGCCCTTAGAGAGTATTGAGTAGAGTTCCCTGTCCTATACAGCAGGTTCTTATTAGTTATCTATTTTATATATAGTAGTGCGTCTATGTCAATCCCAATCTCCCAATTTATCTTTCCCCCGTACCCCCCCTCCCACCGCCACCTTATCCCCTGGTAGCCGTAAGTCTCTGCTCTTAGCCAGGTCTCCCTGGCTATGGGCTCAGAGAAGTAGCATCTTACGGGACACTTGAAAGGAGGTATCTAGAGGCTGGAGGCTGCCCCTCTGTATGGTTTGCCTTAGGACTCATGCATCAGGCCACTCATTAATTCATTTAACAAATATTTGTCGAGCATCTTCTATGTGCCAAGCACGGTGTTAGGCCCTGAGGATAAAACAGTGAATAAGACAAAGTCACCTGATGGTGGAGGAGATGGACAGGTATACATGCAATTTTAGGACCGTAAATAAATGCTGTAGTTGAGATAAGAACAGGATGTAGGGGCTCAGAGGGAAGTCCCTGTACCATCTTGAGTGAAGTCTGAGGTCTCTAAAACCATTTTAGAGCCTGGAGAAATGTGAATATCTATTTAACCAAGGAAAACAAGCCCTCACCTATATTATGATGCTTCTGTTGTTTCAGCTTCATTCTCTGCTGATATCATCTCTCTTCCCTCCAGAGTAGAAAAGATGCTAAGCATTTATTCCTGGGATTGGGCACCATGTCTACTAAGATTGGTATAAAATTTAGTGTTCAAGTTAGAATTTGTACATTTTTATGAAGATGGATGGATTACTCTTTACAATAAAATTAAATGAGATTTTTTTCAGTACGTGTACCTAATCCTCTTGAGTGTTTTAAATTGTTTAACGAACAAAAACCTCATTTAAATGAGCTATGAAAATTCTTGTCCATGGGAACATTTATAGAACATAATGGAAAATGCTTATAATTTGTTTATAATAACATGTGGGTCAGTAGCAAATATTTAAGAGGAAAAAAAGAGAAGATCTCAGGATAGTCTGAGTCATTATTTGAACTTCTGTCAGAATTGAGTCTTAAAACCAAGAAACTCAACTAGTACAGTTAAAGTAGTAAGAGGGTATTTTAAGAGTGTTTAGTTTTCAATGGACTAAATTCTAACAGAAGATTCTACCATCTTCTGGAAGGTCTAAAATGTTTTGCCAACTGGAAATATGTACATATTTGGTATTTTAAGTCTTTTAGCTCTGTATTTCATTATAACAACAAACTTTTTAGAGAACAATTTCTATAATATTAATCCCATAAATGATTCTATGATAGCCTGAACAAATGGATGCTTCAACCCCTCTGAGGCTCTACCTGTGAATTTTACAGTCACCAGAAACACCCTTGGTAACAGTCGTGGGTCCCCAGTTTATACAGAGAAACACATTTTTACATTAATAAGCAGACATCTAAAATCCATTTCAAGCAGATATTGTGGATGATCTGAGAACATGGAGGGGAACTGAGAGCATAAAAAGTTTCAGAGACTCTGGCAGCTCATAAGATCTGAGCTTATGGACTGCCGACTCTAGAACCAAAACCTTTAACTGGGCTTAGTGGGGCAAACCCAGCATTTGGTCCCAAGTCTGTCTGATTCCCAATCCAAGTTCTTAACCATTAGGAAACCCTCCAATTTTATCTCCCACTCAAATCTCAGCCTGTCCTGAGCATGTGTGTGTGTACATACATGTATAAGTACAACATGGAACCCCCAATTTGAACACAGGTCCGTCTGACTACAAAATTGATCACTTCTCTGTGTACCTGCTGTCTCCTTGACCTAGAGACCTCCAAGGACTTCAAGGCTATTTCAGGCATTCTTTGATATGGGTATCTATGGGGGTGGGTGGAAGGCTTTTCCCTTCTACAGCTGAGTCAGCAGTCATAGCACAGAATCAACCAAACGGGAGAGGAAGTCTCAGAAAATATTTGTTGAGTGAATGAATGAGTAAATGAATACCTGTGCACAACTCTAGGCTAACACACAGTTACCTGTACTAAATAAAACCAGAAGAGCACATTTGAACCCATCTGATTTGAGCCTGTGAGCATCACGAATATCTAAGGTTAACTTACCAGCAATGGCTGTTTTTCAAACATCATTTACAAAAATCATTTGGGCTGGTCCCAGCCCTGCTCAGTATGTGACTAAAGGTATATGGCAGAAGACAGACCATATGAGAGCCACACAAGGCGTATTTGATCTTCATAGGCCTCTGAGCAGGAAAGTCCTGCCCTATCCCACAGTGAGGCAGACAGCCATGGAATGATTTCTCTGTCGTCTGGTTCTGTCACTGCTCTATATGCCCTCATACCCCTGGGCCTGTTGGCAAGTGCTCCTTAGGGCTTTATCTCTGCAAAGTGGACCCACACTGTTGTTGAGAAAAGAGAAAAGGAGTAAAGAGGAGAGGCTCCAGTCTCTGCATTAGCCCTGCTTTGAAGGGTCTGGGGTCTCTTTCCTGAGCAAAGAGATGAGGGCATCTCCATTCCACAGCCCTCACGCTGAGAGAGGAGCCCCTATTTTCTCTCTATCTTTGGGGAAGGCCCTCTTCTCTGTGGTCATCATACCCCAGCACACCAAGAACAGGCTGCTAGTGGTTGAAATTCATTTACCTTGCAAGTATTATTAAACATCTGCACTGCCAGGTATTAAGAATAGAACAGACATTTTCCCTACCCACATGGAGCTTAAAGACCAGTAGGGAATCATGTAATTACAAAAATAAATGACAAGTTGTGGCCATGGTACATGCTACCAGGGAAAGGGCCATGACTGTGTGAGACCCTCTAAAAGGGGGATTAAACCCAGGCAGAGAAGGCAATGATGTTTCCACTGAGGGCTAAAGGTCCAATAGATATTAACTAAGAGAAGGGGAGCTGGAAGAGTGTTCGAGGCAGAAGTAATCATTTGTGCAAAGGCCCCATGGCAGCCGGGAGTATGGCAAGTTTGAGGTTTGAGTGGAGGGTGGAGATTTGAAGGTTTCCTCAGAAAAGTCAGGAGAACTCTGAGTGACAAAGGCTAACAGGTACTGGGTACTCACTGTGGGCCAGGCACTCTCAGAAGTGTTTTTTTTGTTTTGTTTTTTTAATATTATCTAATTTAAGACTTACATTTTTACATGTGAAGAAACTAAGCCACAGAGAGGCAAAACAAACTACCAGATAGTGCAGGGTCTTGTTAAGGGCTCCTGTCTGTATCCCTAGGAGCCATGGAAAACCATCAGAGAATTTTAAACAGAAGAAGAGACACAATAGGATTTCTCTTTCAAAAGGATGATTCTGACAAAAATCAACTAGAGATGCCCCCACTTACACTGCCTCTCTAGGCCTCTTTACCCCCAAATAAAAATGTTTACATTTAAAACCGTCGAGGCTATTGAATCTGAAAATAAATGATATTCTGAAAGAGAGACGCAGCTTGTATGAGCTGTAGTGCTGTGTGGTTGTTCTGAGGAGGTGGGCAAAGGAGGAATAACCTAGTGACCCAGCTTTCTCTACTTTCTGGGAACTGTATTCCAAGAAGTTTAGAAGACAGGCTATGGTGTGGACTAGAAAGGGGGATTGAAGACACTCCCCCCTGCAGGCCCAGGGGGACTGTTAACACTCCCCCACCCCAAGCCAAACTCACTGAGTATTGAGTCATAGCAGTGTCTTGCTTTGACCAGGAGAGCAAAAACTCCCTTGTGGGCCAAATTCAGGCTATGTGGCTTTTTCTTTGACAGCTGCAGTATTTTTTTTACATTAGGAAATTTTGCATTAAAATGTGGAGTTCTGGCTTTTCTGACACCTCTGGGCCACCATTCTCCCTTGGCCCCTTGCACTGGCCCTGGTGCATGCACACCCCCAGGCAAGACACACCAGCTTGCTCTCCCATATACCTGGCCCCGCCACTGGGTTGTCTCCCTCCCAGCTCAAGTCTCATTTCCTCACCCGTCTGACCCTGCAGACAGCTACATTTGTGTGCCCTGGATGGTATGCTAGGGAGGATTTCAGTTCATGGGTTTAGGAGGCTGGGCTGGAAGCAGGAAAGTCTTCTTTGAACCGGCTTCTGCTGGGGGTCTCATTCCAGGCACGAGATAAAGTACAGGGTGGGAATGAGCACAGCGCCTGGGAAACAATGAGGAAGTGATTCTCAGCAATGATCTGTGGGCGGATGCAGTGAGGCGTAAGGCTAATTTGGTAGATGTGGTCACAATTTGGAGAGAACAAGGTGAAAATTTGGACCTAAAGCATTAGAAAGCCATCAGAGGCTCTTAAGCAGGTTGAATTTTAGGAAGGAGAGACCAACAAAAACATGGTATAGGTCAAGAGCCTGGAGGTGGGACACCCTCGGAAGGAGGGAGAGTAGTAGTTACAAACTTGCATGAGTATTCCCGGATCAGGAATGGTGCACTCAAAGTAAAGGGCCAGAAGCCAGTGTGAACCCACACAATTTTCGTTGGCACAGGGCAGTGCTTACCGGAAAAAGATTGGTCATGAAAATTTAGCATCATGGGGAGAAAAATGAAATGTAATAAAAATTACGGTTGGTTAAGAATGGAGGCATTTTTACTATGACACAGCCCCACTGTGAAAACCTCTGCATCTGTGCCAAGGGGTGACGCAGTCGGCTCAGCCCAAGGGGCTGGGAGCGGGGCCTCCTCGGGCTTCCATAAAGCACAGATCTTGCCCAAATGTGGAAAACCTTTAGGGACATGAAAACCATGAGGGATCCATAGCCCTGATTTGAACCAAGCAGAATAAACAAACCCCTGCCCAAACTGGAACTCACTGGACGCCTTTCAGAGTTATCCAAGGGGAAAGGCTGGAGGCCTCAGGGGTCTTCAAGTGGGTTAATATCTTGTTTCACTGATTCACTCCAGTCTGATATAACTGCGTGCTCTTCGGTCTTTGTCCTTTTCTGTAGCATCTCTCAACACCTCAGTTGCAAACCCAGAAATGGATTGTGTTCTGAACCTAAAACATATACAGTACCTTTTTTTTTTTTCTGCTAATGAGATGTTAAAGCCCAAGTTAGACCATCTGGAAGTGTGTTTCATGTTCAGGAACTGGATTGGAAAAGTTCCAGAGAGCATTCACATTTTCCATAGACAGGGTTTTGGTAAGTTCCCAACCTCTTAAGCTCTTACCCTGTCTCTAGCCCACCTCTAGGAAGTATAAGGTAATATAACACACTATGAAAACATGTGCTGAGTGCTGGCCATGGCTTTGTCCTAGCCAGGGATGAAAACAATGAAAAAAGGCAGTGTCCTTCATCTCTAGGAGTCATTGATTTAGTTGACAGAAAGACTGACATTCGAATATGTGGTTACACTGTACTGTGACACATATGAGGCAAAAATTAGTGATTAAGAGTGTGCACTTTGGTAACAGACATACCTAAATCCCAGATCTACAACAGACAAGCTGTGTGACCTGGGGCAGATTACTTAACCTTTCTGTTAACCTTTCTAAGTTGTATCATCCTGCCTGTAAAATGGGGACAATGCAGATACTTGCCTCAGAAAATTATAACAGGATAAAATCAATGAACCTAATGAATATAAAGTGATTAGCGCACTGTCCAAAACAAATAAACAAAAAAAGGTGGAGATGGAGCAAATAAGACATTCCAGAAATAGCAAGAACAGAGGCTTAGATCAGGATGGTTCTCCCAAGTGAATAGCAAGGGGTCAGGTTTGGCAGGAGGGAGGGGTCATGGAGGGAACTGTGGGAAATGGAGCTGGGGAGGGTGCCCTCGTCTGGAGGCCATCTGGAGCTGCAGGTGGCCCCTGGGTCAAGGCAGACCTCAGGAGGATGGGGGTCCAGACAGAGCTATTCCTGGCTCTTGCCCTCAGAGCTCATTTCTCCCATCCACCCCCATCCCTTCCCACGATTCCAGGCTGCATCAACCACCAACAGCACGTCACCTGCCTCGAAGGTCTCTCTCATCTTCCCAGTTAGCTCAGGTGGATCATACACAGGTAAATTCCTTTTTCTCCTTCTCTGCCTCAGCTGTGAGAAAATTGGAATTTTTTTGAATGCAAAGTCTTCCTCTAAAAAAAAAAAAAGGATAGAAGGATATGAGGGAGGAAAAAGAGATAGAAGAAGGGAAAGGGAGGGAAGTGGATAGGGGATGGGATGGACATACAGATGTCCAGTAACAGACATGTTCAGCAAAGCACAGACTACCTCATATATCAAAAGTGGGTCACAAAGATCAGCCTTGCCAGTGGATTCCATTTGAAGGACTTCCTGTTCTTCTCTTCCTTGCTTCTGTCTGAATGTCTGGTGGACTTGGAGAGATTACACTAGCTATCTGAGGAAAAGTCTGCTTGCCGACATGGATGCCACATCCCTTCCAGAACCTTCTCATCTGTCCACAGTGGGGGGAGGGGGAAGCCCAGGACTTAGATTCCTTTGGCCTTAGGCTGTGTCACATTCCTTTGTGTTTATCAATCTCTCCATCTGTTCATTCAGTGACAGTTACTAAACTCTCCTCTCTGCAGGCGCCCTGCGGGGAGGGAGTTGCACATAGAAACATAAGCTATAGGAGGTCCAAACAACAGTACTACAGACTCTGAAAACAGCACCAAGAAAGGACCAGGGCTACCCAGAGCACCTTTGTATCACATATATCATACCCAAAGGTGACTGCTTAGTGTTTAACTTGGACATAAATTCTGGTGGTATTGTTTTTTTAAAAAGGTTACTCTTGTACCTTTATTACTTTGGACCTAAAAGCAAAAAGCCTGCATTGCTTTAAAAATATTGTTATTAAGACTAACTTCTTCTACTGCTCAATTTAGTACAAATTAATGAGAAACTATGTATTTATGAAGTGACCTATGGTGGAATAACATAATTGTAATTTCGGCTCCTATGTTGAAAATGAATTTTTGATTATTTGATTATTCAGTTTCTCTGAACCTTAGTTTTCTGTATCCACAAAGTGGAAATAATAGGCTTATCCTATAAATCAAAGCAATGTAGGGGCATTCAATTTCCTGACTCTAAGCCATTTATAAAACTAAGCTGTTGTTGTTAACTGCTGCAGATAATTGTGATGATAAGTAATGACTATGATTGTGGTCCTGGGTGTGGGTTTGTGAAGTCAATGGGCTTATTTTCTGCTATATCTGGATGCTTCTTTCCCTGTGGCCACCCTACTTACAATGAAACTCCATCAAAGCAGTGCTTCTCAAATAGTAATGTGCATCTGAATCTCCTTGGGACTTTGCTGAAATGCAGATTTGGATTTACTAGGTCTGGGGCAGGGACTGAGATTCTGAGTTTCCAGAACATTCCCAAATGATGCAGTTGCTGATGGCCAAGACCCTCATGTTGAGTAACAAGACTCTAGATTACCTCTGGAAGCCTCCTCAAGGGACCTTTCTGTATCTCATGGCTTTTGTGTCACACACCTTTGCCTAAGGAGAACTAACTCATCCTCTGAGGGCCAAAAGCTTCTATGCCAGGCCTACGCCTGGTCTTGGAGCGGGAAGCCCACCTGCTGCACACAGAACAAGAGCCCCACCCTGCGGCAGCACCCTTTGGTTGCTGCCACACACAGGAGGCAGCCTTTTAAAAAATGTTCTCCTGTTTGTTGGTTCCACTTCCCCTTAAGCTCTGATCTTTGGCTCAGAAGGCATCTTCAAAGCTTGGTGTGGTCAGTTCACCAGCCTATTTGAGTCCGTCTTTGAACCCTGGGGCACTGGTCTGAGCCAATCAAGTCCCCAGAAAATGGATTTCTAAACCCAAAGGCACTTGCCCTATTTCTAAGAGCTACACGTAACTCAACCAGTGCGAGTAATAGAAACAATAATAACTATCATTTATTGAATCAGGAACTACATGCCATAAACTGTTCTAAGTGCTTTAGCAACACCAACCCTCTTGCAATTGAAAATGTGGTCCCAGAACCAGAAGAAATCTCAGACCCCACCAAGACCTCTTGAATCAGAATCTGCATTATTTCAACAACAAAATTCCTAGGTAAAAATCCTGGGTTCAGTGCTAGCTGTGCCACTCACTAATGGTGCAAACACTCTTTTCTCCCTTGCCTTCTGTCCTCAATCCCTTGGTCTCATTCAGTTTCAAGGTCACCTTGAAAAGACCGCAGGTCTTTCCCGTTGACAAAGATGTTTGAGAGTTCTCTTTGGTGCCCAGGATTGGTGGTCAACAGCTGTAAGTTTCACTCAGAGTGGCCAGAGAGGATTCTTCCTTCAGAGAGGGCAAGGGTCCAGTTGGGTTCCTTCAGGTGAAGAGCTTACAGAGTGATTAGATATGATCCACCAGCTGTTAAAAAATAAAATCTCTTTGTATTATTTATATTTATATCTGTAACTGTAGACAAAAAGGAAGTCACCCTGAAAGAAATAACAGACCAGTAAGTAATTGGGCCTTCAACAGAATGAAAAGCCACATGTCCTTTGTGTATTAATGACCTATTCTCTCCCTTTGCCAACTCTCATGTGCTTATAAACAAGTAAATAATAACACATTCCTTGGGCATATGACAACCTTCCCAGAGTTCATGTGGAAACATGTAGGTCTTCTATTAATGGCCCAGCCACTATACTGTTTTGTGTACACATCATGTAATTCCCAAAGCAACCTGGTGAGGTAGGCTCGTGATCCCCATTTCAAAGATAAGAAAACTGAGACTTAGGGGCCATAAATTGGTACCCCTACAAATTCCAGTTGCTTAAGAAGAGCTTGAGAAGGGGGAAGATAGCTGGTGGCTTTACCTGCTGTTGTCCTGAGCTATTCCCTCTGGCCCCCAGCTTGCCTGTCCCTGTCCACAAACCAAGGCCCTATGGTTAGGCTAAGTGGGTGTCTCTGTTTTAAAAGGCATTTTGGGGACTTCATAGTGATCCCACCCCCTTCCAACTTCAGAGGTTTGCCAGAGTATTTGTCCCAACCACGTATGATATTTCACTTCTAAGGAGTTTAAGAAAATTAATTTTCCCCATCTTCTTGTTTCTTTACTGGTGTTTTGTACTCCTTCCAGCTGGGAGTTCACAGGAAGCTGAGCAGATGGCCTGCTCCACTCTGAGAGATTAATTACAGGGTTAAGCAACTAGAGAGTGGCTGAGTGGGATTTGGACTTGGTTCTGTCCCACTTCAGAGCCCGGGCACCTGAGCGCTCTTCCGCATTGCATGTGAAGCCTAGGGCTCCCCCTTCACCACCTCCTTACCACATGCCTCTGGTGGGAGGCATGAGAATGAAGGTGCCCAACGCTCCCAGGCATGCAGCCCTAGTTTGCCCAGTCAGAGCTGGCAGCACTCCGGCTCAGGGTCACAGATACAGAGGCTGGGCAGTCTGAACTGTTTATGTCCAGGTATGGGCACCAGTACCTCCTTTGTCTCTGCTGCTCTGACAGAGGATGACAGTTGTTATTCCAGGTCCTATGACTGTTTTATACCAAATCAGAGAGGAACTGACCTCAGGAAGGAATTATGAGGTCTCTCCAAGACATGATGAAACCTGTGTGTGTTTTCTTTCCACATTTTATTGGGCTGCCTCCACCCTTCTTCCACCTCCCACTGCCATCATGGACATCACTTCACAGAGCCAAATGGCCTTACTTATCCCCTAGGCTTTGGTCTAAGAAGGCTTTTGTGAGGATTCCTCTCAGTATCTCAGAGTAGAGGATAGTCAAGAGGCTGATACAGGTATCCATGCAGGTGGGAATTGAGAGAAAGCAGTGAAAATGGGATGGAAGGGACTAATTCTGGAAATAACTGGTGGACGAGTGGGTGCAAAATCAGCCCAGGAGGAATAACAGATGCCTCCAAGATTTTGGATCTGGGGAAGTAAAGGTGGTGCCCTAAAAAGAAAGGGCAAAGTTAGATCCAATTTGCATAGCTTGACTCTGAGGTGCTGGGATGTTCACATAGACACTCCGAATAGAAGCATCAGGATTGGAGCTGAGGGAGAGGTCAGAACTGGAATTACACATTTGCAAAGTCATCTGCCTAGCTGTGATGGCTGCAGCTTGAGATGAGCTTTTCTAGGAAAGAGAGATGAGAGAACTGAGACTGTAGAGTTCAGTCTCAGGAGCTGCAAGGAGACTCAGAAGCCAGTGCTGTTGCTGGAGAGGTAAGGGGAGAGCCAAGATCAGGTAGTGTCCTGAGCCAGGACTCAGGGGAGGTCCATGGTGTGGGGCTTAGACTTGTAGATTACCAGGCTCCCTCTACATGACAATGGCATGGTGATTTTAATGCACCAAATCATAATGTCCTCAAATCTATCATTAGCCACTTCGGCATAGCTTTTTTTTTTTTCCTGTTAAAGGTGGCTTTGACTTTGTCAGCAAAGATCTTCTGCTTAAATCATCAAACATAGTCAAAAAGCTATTAATTGCATAATTAAATACAAAGCAGTTCCTGTACAGCCTTGTCCACTACTAGATTAGATACATCCCATAGGTTGAATTCACATGGTAAGTACCTACTGAGTACTTGACTTGAAATAGCATTTGGTCAACAAGTGGGACATGGTGAATCCTAATGCCTTCCAGGTTTTGGTCCCATTTTAGTTGAAAAGGGGAAATGAGTTTTGAGTTCGTGCATAAATTTAACTCTGGTACCTAGAGTACAAGAAATGGTGAAGAGAATGGACTTTGGAGTCAAATGAGTCTAAGTCAGAATCCTGGCATCACTACGTAACTACCTGTGAATATTTAGGCAAGTTCCTTAGCCTCTCTGAGTTTCTTCAGCTGTAAAATGGAATACTTAATCATAGTCAGGCCAGAGTCACTGATAGGACTAAAGGAGATACTTAATAAAACGTTAGCAAGTAATGCTGTCAGTACCATTAGTGTTGCCTTTTATGGGAAAAAAAAATTCCAGGTCGGTATGTGTTTTTCTTATTAAGTGACTTTGACCTACCCAAAGTCTGGTACAGGTCAGTTCTGCAATAATATGTTCTAAATCAGAAATAACACGCACAAGTTTTCTCTTAAGTCATAGAGCTATTTTAATTGATGCTCATATCGTCACAGGTTGAAAATGTGATTATAATAACAAACAATAATAAAGAGTACATTTTCAACATGAATTTTTAAAATATATATTTCCTTTCTTTAAAACAAACATAATTTTTAAAAATATCAGAGTGTTTGTGATTTGGAGTCATGGTTACAGCCATGTCCCAGTTTGCCATCTGTTCTTGTCCAATGTACAGGTCCAAGTTAGGGTCAGAACTGCAGTTAGACAATAAATGTCTGCTGGTCTCATACAAAGCTCTTCTCAGACTGTGCTTACACACACAATATATTAATATAAAATGTATGTACAGTTAAG